CATGGGATTCACATGACACAAGTTTGTCTGCTTTAACATAGGGGTAGGAAATGGAGGTTAGTACTTTGAAAGCACCTGGGGACAGTCTGATTCCACATTTAGGTGGTGGGAATTAAGGTCTGGGGAAGGGATAGGGCTGTAAATCTATACAGGTGGAGGCAAATTGTAGGGGTAGTGTAGAAACCTGCTGGGATATTGAAGACAGTAAAGATTGCTGTGTGTGGAGGGCAACGGGGAAGTATCAACTGCTTCTTTGTAGACCGGGATACAGAGCTGCAACTCTGGATCTACTATGGAGAGGAGAATGATGGGGGGGGGGGGGGGGGGNAAGTATGACTTCATAGTATTGGCATCAGTCTACAGTGTTAGGGTAAACCAGCTGTACAGTCTCAGCAGTGGGATATGTCAATTACAGTCAAAGATGGAGAAGGCAAAAATTATGTCATCAAAATGTTACGTTAGCTATCAGATTCAACTTTGTGTATACTGAATGCATTCCAAGCACTATCATTATATAGATCTTTAAAAAATCACTTGAAAAATTGTTCAAGCTACATTTGTTTCTCATGATGGGCAAGTAAAGCTGCAAGGATCAAGCTCCTCACTGACTTTGAGTAAGGCTGTAGATGATAAGGGGAGATAACTCAATGGTTTTATGGTGAAATGTGCTGACTTATCTCCCTTATCTCACACACATGGAGATGTGGATTGTACACATGCAGACTCGTTCAAAGCTAACCATTTGTCTATTGTTTAAAACATTGGTTTTGTCATGTAACGTGTGGGCTTGGAATTCCACAGATTCTCCTTCGTGGTAGACACCTGTTGTAGCTGATAAAATGGTCATGCCCAGTGATTACATTAGAGAAGCCGTGCTGAAATATCCATTGTCTGCCATTAATTGTAAAGATACCTTGAGACTAGTCGGTTCTAAATAAGCTTGGTCATCCCTATTTCATATTTCAACTTTCTATGAAATAACTCTATAGACATGCCTGTGTTTTTTTAATGAAAAAAATAAATGACACACAGCTAGATCAAGATATTGTCTTTGGACTGAACCCTGTATAATCTAGCAACCTGTGTAAACTAGACCTTTATCTACTACGGTCAGACACCTGTAATCTGATCTTAATAAAGTGCATCTGTGTACATCCATCAGTGTATATCTTATCTGGAAATTACCTGTATTCATCAGACCTACCACGTGGTTGGGCAGGTGACCCCATACCTTTTAACGTCAGATTTGGGGAATCGAACCCCAGCCATCTCCATCTAGGTGAAAGAGGAGTACGCTATCCACTGCTCCACCCGAACACACACAATTAAATTTTTTGAATTATTAAATTTTTCATGATAAAGGATTTTTCCTCCTATTTACACAGAAAGCTGACACCATTTGGTTGTGTCTGACATTGTTTCAGTAAAGATTAAAATATAGAGGTCAGCTATGATTATTTTGAACATAACAGGACCTGGTGTGATGGTAATTTAGTCAGGTGTTAGGTGTGTTATATGCCAGTAAACGGCTGATTAAGTCTGGTTTGTTGGTTAATCTGTTACATGCAAGTCAATAATTATTTCTTATTTTTCTATAGGAGAAAAAATAATATTTCACAGGTTTAAAAGTATGAAGGAGTTTACTGTTAGTTTACATTAATGAGCTATAGGGTTAACTGATTAAACTTATTTTTGCTATCTCGGTCTTAAAAGTCTACTGCTCAAGTGGCTAGACTAACAGAAATGAAAACTTAATCCAGAAATGTTTTTCAAAGGTTCGAGTGAAAGTTGTAAAACCTGTGGCTGTACTTTAACTGGGTACATTCTATAAATACTGACTCCACACCTTACCACATTTTAGTTTGACGATCAAAGAAATAATGTAAAATTCTTGCATCATAATAACTGTTAATAAAGAATTTCAGCATTCTCTTACTCTGAGCAAAGTGAGTTAATAACATCTCAAATGAAAGAAATTCACTCCCCGAGTTAAAAGTAAGGGAGCTAATTTAATACTCAGAAGTATTTGAATCAATTACACATCAAAGAAGTGCTTGAACAAGTTATAAATTCTTTGAATAATTAATAGAGGTTTAATTGAAACTTGAGATTTCATCACAGCATAAAGCACATTAGACTTTTTTTTTCATGAGAATTTTTCACCACAGTTTATCCACCGTTGTTTTACAGTGGGATGTAGACGATCAGTGTGGGAATAGGGTCGAGGTGGGGGTGGTTCAGCTGACAGTACTTCAGGATGAAACGAAAAAAATATTTCACAACTACAGGTTAAAAATACAATCTGACCTAATTCATATGAGTCATTGTTAATTTCACAAACGTTTTAGCCGAAATTAATGTTTAGGATCTATTGTAAAAACGTTCTGACAACTAAGATCAATCTTTGTCCTGTGGGAGCTTGGGTCGCTCCTATCAGATTGTCACTATAACACTGGTTACTTCATCGTCAAAAGTCACACCTAGTTGGACAGCATGTCATTGGTATTTCTTAATTTAAACCATTGTCACAATTTTTTCTCTACTTTTTCAGTATATTCCAATTACTGAAGAATATTATAATCTTGGCTGATAAGTTTAACATTTGTTGAATATTGAAGACTTTTGTGACATGAAGAAATTGGTGTTATCTGTTAATAGCTGAGCTGTTGTATCATACCGCACTAATCTCTAGCTTTCAGGGCGATGCTGTCATCCAACGGTTTTTTACTCATAGCGACATCACGAGTCATTGTGTTTAAAGTTGTCTGCTTCTTTTAATGGGTCAGGTGACATTCTGATGGATCAGCCAGTCGTGATGAGATTTCAGCCAATCAATATAGAGTTAATATTGAATTTTTGTGTCACCCCTCGGAACGTTATACAGCAAGATGGAAGACGTGCTAAGTACATGTTTGAATTAGATTTTGAATAATTAAGTGCTGTAGGATGTTTTATTTCACTTCTATGCTATGAATCCTGTAAGACTTGTGTGTAAATGAAGTCGAATGGTTGAAGGGCTATTTTCTATGTCCTGTGACTCCTCCAATCTTTAATTACATTCCTGGAATTTCATTCGATAAGGACATTTTGGCCTATGTGAAAAATTTCCAATTAAGAAGCTTAATGAAAAAGACTTTCGATTTCAAGAAGATACTTAAAGAAGATACTTTAAGACGTGCACTTTTGTTTTTGAGATATTCAGACTTTAAACTGTTTGACAATGGTCAAAACCTAGCATGACATCTGACACTGAAAAAGTCCTGTGCAGGATCACATGACATTGGAAAAATCACACGCAGGCCGATCACATGACATTGGAAAAATCACACGCAGGCTGATCACATGACATTGGAAAAATCACATGCAGGCCGATCACATGACATTGGAAAAATCATATACAGAATCACATGACATGCAGGCTGATCACATGACATTGGAATAATCACATACAGAATCACATGACATATCGGCAAAATCAAATGCAGGGTCACATGACATATCGGCAAAATCAAATGCAGGGTCACATGACACTGCAGGCAAAAAACACAAGCAGGGTCACATGACACTTGTCGAACCTTATATATAGATATGGCATGTAATTGACAGTTATGGGAAAATGCAGGATCATATAAAAAACCCAGTTAAAAACTTGCCTTAAATAAGGTTTGATTAAGTTATGTTAAACTAAGATTGTTCTGTATAAACATGCCAAAAGGTTTTCCTCCTGGTAGCTATTAATGAGGTGCATTTACAGGTGGAACCTTGCGATGTAATGGAAACCAGAGATTAGCACTATCTATACAGCCAAATCTCCCCGTGTGCTAATCCAATAATCACTTGATTGCTTTGGCTCGACTTTAATTCATTTCTTTCAGCGTGGTTTCACTGAGATTTTGTTGGCAGTCTTCGTTTAATTTCACTGTTATGATCCAATTTGTACTCCTTCATTAAACACTGAATACTGAATTAGGTCTGGCGGTTAAATTCTGAGGTAAAATCCAGCATTTATGTGATCTTGTTCGACCATAAAGTTTGAAAATAAACATCAGATTTGCCCAATATAGTTTTTTTTACGGCGGCTGCCTGTATTGAGTAAGGTTATGCAGTTAATTGAAAATGGATACCAGTTATATGTGTTTAAGGTCTGGTGAATGTCAAAAGTTTTCTAAGCAGATTTTTATCTGCAGTTGGTTTTGTTTTCAGCAAAACACTTCTAAATTTGTAAATTATTAAATTTACACCATGTGAAAGTTGGGTATGAAAGGACGAGTGTTTTTCTGTGTGAGGTTTATAATCAAGGACTGTGAAAAGTTTAACAATGGAACACGGGCAACAAGACCGAGGCTCCATATTGAATAACACATGCGGAGTGCAGATTGGAAGGCATTACTGAGCATTATATAAAACCACACATGCTTGATCGAGACTTTTCGATAAGCAGATTTCTTGACACTTAAAGTGTTTATGAAATTAAAATTTGAAACAAAATGTTGTGAGTCGAAAAAGCAAGGTGTTAATCTGGATTTTAGACTACCATGATAAAATAGCTGTAGAGGTGAAGTCAGAAAGTGTTGTGGAAGAGATTTCTTGATTTGTAAAGAAATGCTCAGTAATACAACACCAGCACCTGTGGTGACGCATCAGAATGTAACACTGTAGCATCCGTTACAGATGGGGTTTTAAGCCCTTTGATGATTAGATTTGTTTTCATATTTTCTGGCGCTGACTTTACTGGTTGGACTATTACTTAAGTATTCACGATATAGCTTTTTGGATTTATAAAAGATTTGCAATAACAAGGTGAAAGTCCATGGAACTTGGAGTTGAACCGTATTCATATTTCATATCAGTTTGGTTCTTTAAGTTTAGCTGTTCGATTTTATATCGCATATTTATTTGTACTTTCACTTTACCTATATGTTATATTATTGCAAAAAAATACTATCTGCTACTTTCAATTTCCTAGTTTTTTATGTGGAGTTTTCTTTTGTCTTTGACAGGATGGAGGAGACGGTGAGAAATATGATGCAGTATAAGTCAAAGATTGACCAGCTAAAGCAGGAAAAGTCCAGTCTGTCCATCACTTATGAGGTAAGAGGAGCGTTAATTTCAACTAAGTGCATTGCTATGAGAAAATTTCAGTGAATTGTGTACAATTTTTTTTTTTTTTAAAATCATAAGTTATATTTTGTTTTGATTTCAATTTGTTAACCATAACTTGTGTAGCATAGCATATTCTGTTTTACTTCAATTGCAACTTTATTTCCAACAGAACAATATGCATAAGTACCGCAACCATATAAGTACACTTGAGAGGGAGAACATTTTGCTTCTCAACGATGTCAAGCGCTTTGAGTCCCAGGTAAGTTCCACCTTTGTAAGTTTTTAGTCGTGTCTCAAGTAAACTCCGGTAAGTTTTTGCTAGGTAAGTTAATTTTGAAGTAAAAGTTGTCTGTTATGGTGTTATTTCAATCTCTACAATGCTTTATAGTTCAATATATACATTGAGACATTGGAGAAAGTATCAGTGGGATTCCTAGATGAAGGACTATTCTGCTGAAGAGCCCCTTAATTAGGGAGCCTATGGGTTGCTGAACCTGATACCTAAAACAGCATGTCGGAAATTCAATTCTTTTGACCAAAAAATTGAATTACTTTCTGATACCAGCAAATAAGCAAATAAGCAAATGTATATTTTTCATGTTTTATTTGTGAAGCATTTACGCATTTATTTATGTATGGTGTTGCTTGCAATGGATCTTTTATTGTTTTGTTAAATTTTTCAAGTGTTTCAATTCAAAGCCCTCACTGTAAATTGTTTAGTTGATTAATTCGAGTGTAATATGAATTACTTTCAGCCAATAAGTGGAAAGACAGACGATCGCACAAAACTGCTGCTAGGTCGACTCAAAATGCTTGAATCGGAGAACTCCTCGTTAGTCATGGAGAATGAACAACAACGACAACAGTACGAGAAATGTCTGGACGAGATAGCCAATCAAGTGGTTCAGGCCTTACTGGCTCAAAAGGTCAGAGTCGCAACCAATCAGATCGTATCATAGAATGTTCTTTAGATAAGGTCAACTTCTATATACTTCTCAGTTGTGTGACATTATGGAAATTAATCAGAAAGGACACACCTGATTGAGTTTGTCCAGGGCATACTATTCTTCTATACTATTTCACCTGGAGTAATCAAATTTGGTCTGCATGTACATCTCTAGATGGCAGAGTACAAGAAGTATGTCACTGTGACCCAGGCTGACAGGTGTACAGCTCGGTAAATAAAGAAATCATTACAAATAGGGACTATTGATTGCCTGTTGTAGCATTCTTTAAAGAGGATTTTGAAAACATTCCCCCCCCCTCCCCCCCAATTCATCGTTATAGAAGTCTCATTTTGTTTTTCAAAGGTGTGTGTCAACAACCATAATTATGATCTGTCCAAATCATTATACTTTAGATATTGAATGAGTTTCAAGCAACTCTTTTAAATAAACATATTTCTTTTTTGTTAAAATTAGAGAGTAGTATAATTTACTTCTAATCTGTATTGCAATCATCAATGCCTTTTGCTGCTTTAGATTACATGGGACAGACCATAGAGTTCTATTGTCTATATCACAAAAATTCCATTTCAGTCACACTATTTATAGCAGAGACTTATGTTTCATTATAAACTGACAATACTTGACATTCACTGTCAATGTCTGGACAGAATGATACGTATTAGTGACGAGGAAGTATATTGAACGATTATTACAGTGAAGTCCTGGAGGATATATGCGTCCTGGATACTCCAGCGGTTACGCTCACGGGGAGGGCGAAAATGAGCTCCCTTTATCAGTAAGCTAAATCCCATACCTCCGTCCTCGATACTCCAGGGGTTACGCTCACGGGGAGAGCGAAAGAGAGCTATAACCCCATGAGAATTGAGGATGGAGGGTATGGGAATTTTAGCTTACTGATACTTCGGACTGTTAGACCCTGATGGAAACTAAAAAAACCTGTTAACTGTACTATACAACTGGTCATCACTCTACGGGGTCATTTCTATCATGTTCTGTACTCCACTCAGCTGGGCAATTATACAGTTCTCTGCTGGTTCGTCATCGGAGCAGACATTGTGATGGACAGAAGTAAAAACACTCATTTCATACTTTATTTCTGTCATATTCAATTATGTGTCAAATTGTGTCGATAAAAAATTATTAAGTTTGGGTTGAAGAATTGGTAACTGTTTGTATAGATGAGCATTTGGAATAAATCAATAGGGTTACCCACTACATATTCAAACTGGGTGAGAAAATTGTGAGATGACAATTTTTGACCAATCAAATTATTCTATTCATCACATATTGATTTGTTATAATCAGGAGAGATTGTCAATTGACCAATCAGATTTCAGCATTGTTATTCAATTTGTTTATTTCTGGCATCTTTTTGGAATGGAAATTATCAGATATAATCTAACTAATCAAATATTCTGTTTCAAATAAACGATGACTATCGACCCATTATGTTAGCTTGCTGCTGATTGGACATTTGATATCTTTCCATTTTGCGGGGTAGCTAACTGTTGAAATGCCAACTGTTGATGGCTGAAGATATTTTGTGAAATGTTTTTTCTATGTTGTCTACCTTGGGAATAAGCGTCATTTGTAATTTGACCATTCCAGATCAATCATGTATCGCTTTAGGAAATAAAGGTGGTTTGTGTAGAAGAAAAATATTTATTTTTGTAATCTAATACAGTTTTTTTGAGTATGATAGGACCACCAGTTGTAATATTTTAAGGAAGATGGTTATATTTGTATTTTTTTATTTTTTTTTTTTAGAAAAAATGGTATATTACTATAGGTTTTAAGTGACACTTGGACTTATTTAATGTTTTAACAGTGCTTAGTCTATGTAGAAATTTAAATCAAATCTAATTACAGTTACCTTAGACTGATTTTCAAATATCCAATGTATATGATGAAATCTCATCATTAAACTTGCTTGATTTCAAGATTTTGTCAGATTTAGATCATTTTCTTTAATCACGCCTTCCCAATGGTACAAGGCATTGGTTTCAAGAGTTGACCAGATCATGATTGTATAGACTTTAAGCCTGTTGTCCATTCCTTTTGACATTGTACTGTTTCAGTGAAAGCTGTTGAAATTAAAATTTTGATTTTCTGGTGTTACAGACTCTGCGAGAAGAATGTATGAAGCTACAAGGCCGAGTACAAGATCTTGAGTATCAAAATCACGAACTCAACAGCATGTTCCAACAGAAGATCAAGTACGACCCCAACAACCAGGACGCTGTCCTCACAAGTGTATCCAAGTTAACGGTGTGCGAGGGGACGAGTATGGCCAGTCTAACCACCCCAGAACAGATGTCCAACGCGGCCATGGCCTTTACCCAGACCATGGTAAGACCGTCAAAATTGTCCTACATATAGCTTCCTTGTATTATCAAAATATTCTTCTTCTGTTATCAAATTAAATACATGAAATTAAGGTAATTTGAAACAAGATAATAATGAAAAATGTAATCAAATGCATGTTTGTTGATGAAAGGAATTTTTCGGCCTTTTTTCTTTCTCTTTTTCTGCTTCATGTTTTAACCCTTTCACCCCTACATAACTTCAGTAGAATCTACCATGCATTCATCTGGATGAATCTATTGTGGTCTATAGTGGTGAAAGGGTTAAGGGAGGTTATATTTCTTTTTAAATTTGAATTTTCACATTCTTTTCAAAATATATCTATTGCTTTCAAAACATAACAAGATCCAATTAGGAAACAATAAGGAGATGATGATAGTTTAATTGGATTTCTTGACGTCATGAACAATTCAGTTAAAAGCTGTTCATGAATTGTATATTGTGTGTTGATACAGCCACTTTATGAACTACAGTTCTTAAACAGTTCCTGCAATGTTTCATATAGTCTGTGAATATTAAGTAGACCTATTCTCTTTACTTTTATCAATTTTGATAGATTTTGCATGATCTTGAGAAACTTGAGACATTAGAATTAGATTTTGAGTAGTTGCGCCTGTGTTTTCCAGCACCTGTCTCCAATGTCCCAGTACGTCCTACAGGCCAAGGTGGCCCAGAAGTGTCTCGGCCAGTACATGCCAGGGGAGAGCACCGACTCCCTACACAGTATATGTAGTGATTATGTACGTATCTGTTCACCGTTTTGTCATTGTTCTTCGACTCATTTGCTCCTCCTGTAGATTTAAGCTAGAAATATTTTTTCTTGTGATTTTTGCACTGTATATAGCCATCTTTTTCTACAATGCTCAACTTTGATCATTCCATATTTTTTCTCATATTCATTATTTCTTCAATATTTCTAAAGAAAATTCTCTGTTTCTTAATTTCTCAATTGAATTAGGCTTCCTGTTGCTTAAGTGTTCAAACTTTAATTCTGCTTTCTTCAGACACAACATAAACAGATCATGTGTGATTTTAACATGGATAAACATTGTATATGTCAAATGATATGATCTAACCAATGGACTTTTTCTAGATATGACATATTCCGGAAATATATTAATGAAGAAGAAATTGAAAATAGTGAAATTATTCAAGAAATCTATGTTAAGTACTGTTCATAAATATATCTATAAAACATGCTTTGCATAGCTCATAAAAGTAGTAATATAGTTAAAAATAGATTTCTGGGAAGTGAAAAGTTATTTAAACAATTAAAACATGCTTAAAGGTTTGCTTCGTTGTAGACCTGCGATGACAGCATAGGAAAACCCCAGATGAGTCTGCCCGTCTGGTCAACAGAACGCACCGGTCATCCAAAGAAACTGCCTGGTTCTGCGACCTCAGTTGGCTCAACCAATGTGCCCCCTAGTGGTGAACAAAACAACGAATTCAACTGTAGGACAAAAATAGAAACTGAGTTCCCTGCCAACAATTCAAGTCCGAAAATGAAACATGTCAATATTATGGAAAGAGCTAATCAAAAACGGCAGCGGAGCTCATCAACTTCGTCTCTACAATCAAACTCAAAGTCAGCAAAATCGAGGTCAACAGCTTCACTCAATAAGAGCAAACTGGGTCTGACAGTGTACAACGGGTCAAAGACGTCGCTGTCTGGGAGTCAACGGGATCTCTGTTTACAGAATGAAGCAATGTCAGGAAAGCGTAGTATATCTCACCCGGACCATATAGACAAAGGTGTTAGTGCTCACGCTCCAAAATCTGTCCGAAATCCACAGCTAGGATCCTCAGGGAAAGTTAGCCAATATCAACAACGAGAACGCTCTTCCTCTGCTTCGTCCATACCTATCAAAAGGGGAAGTAACTCAGGGTGTGGGAAAACGCAAAAGTCCATTCCTCAAGTATCTTCTCACTCCAAACTACCCTTAAAATCTCAGGAACCAAATGATCATTTGTTTAGGAACAGAAAATTCTCCGACAATGTGAAGGCTAACAGTTGTGGCAAAGTTCAAGGTCACAGGATTAGAAAGGAAATAGAAATGAAGGTCATGAGCTCAAGTACTGGGACTGGGGTGAAAGACAGAATGGCAGCATTGCGCCAAACTTTTGGGAGTCCGCCCCGAGTTCCTCTGCTGCCAAACGGTCAGTATTTCTACGACTACAGTGATGAGGACAGTGATATGAATCGGCCTGTGTCAGCAGATTTCAGTAATACCTCCACGATATCATTAAATGAAATCTTGGACAATAGTGATGACACGGACACGTTACTGGAGGAAGATTTCACAACAGAAAACTTTGCTTTTTTCGAGTCGCCCTCATTTGTGAAAAAGTACCATAGGCAGTGCGATCGACAAAAATTAAGGGTTGATTCTAAAAATGTAGAAATTCGTGAGAAGGGCTTTCCGGGTGCTAGACTTCACGGTAAACCTGATATTATACAAGATACAGAAAATAGTGAACTTCAGAACCAAGGGAAAACACCTAGAAGTCCTTACATTCCAAAGAAACGTAGTTCCTTGCAGCATAGTCACAGTAAACGGAAACAAAATACACAACGGCCTAGCTCACTCATTCTAGCTCCTCGCGAAAAACAGTTTATGCATCAACGATACAGTTCTTCCTCCTCCAGTTTAGAGAGCTCCGACAGCGATGAAAATTGGTCGCCAAGGTTTGCGAGAAAGTATCATCAAATAAAACAGGGTAGAGGTAAATCAAGGTCTCAAGTGCAATCAGCCAATCAGACTTCACCAGAAAGTACGCCATCTCCTTCTAATAGTTCTTCCAAAGGTGTGCATTCAGGGGAGACAACTCCGATGGAAAATGTTAAAATTGAAAATCGTGATTATATATCTCCGGAGAGGCCCCCAGTTGTTATGACAAGCTCATCTGAAACTGATCCACATTTGACGAATTCTCTCACAAAGAGGAAGGGGCCACCTCCACCCGTCCCTACCAAACCAGCCACAGGTAGGCGATCCCCAGGGATTCGTATGGGTGTCAAATCCCCTGGATTCAGGCACAACAAAAAGGAAACAACAAGTGTGCAAGATGTGTCTCCAAAATGTCAGGAGATCAAAACAGGTGCCTACCACCACCAACACGTGGAGTATACTACTAGTGCTATAGAACCCCAGATAGAGGTTCAAATGAATCAAAAAATCATGGTGTCGGCCGAGTTGAGCTTTGACAAGGCTGAAAAGGTTGAAAGATCCGGCAGCAAAGACGACGGCTATTCTACGATGTCAAGTGATATTCAACCAGAAGCCATGGAGAAGTTTAACGACACCTCCATTCAGAATAAGGAATCTGGTATGAAAAAAGAGACCACAGCTAAGATAGAGGAACCGCTTCCTGCTGCTGTGACAGTGGTCAAAGTCAGTAAGTCAGATTTGACCTCTGACCCTGATTCTGCCATGGATAGTTCGACTCACAGCACAGAAATGAGAAATTCCACCCACAGTCTTTCATCACAGAACTCTAATTCTAGCGAGGATCGTGCAGCAGTTTGTGGTTCCCTGGGAAGAGTCAGAGCCATGAAAATCCTGTTTGAGGCGGAAAATCAAAAACAAAATGAAAACAAATTCATGAAGTTCCCTCTTAGGAAATCTCCTTCGATGGACAGTAAGCTTAGTACAAGTTCCAAGGACATGCATGAACGGAGAAACCTCAATCGTAGGTCTCTTGGTGATGACTTCAAAATGTTTGTCCCTGAAATACATCATAACAACTGGAGTGCAGAGGTCAATAAGGTCAGTACTGAAGAGACATATGTACAATGTGAAAAACCATTGCCCGATAATGGTTTGAATATTCCAGGATTAGAGGTGGAAGAAGAGGAAATTGACGAACGGAGTTCACTCCCTTCACTTCCTGTTTTCCATCATGTCCAAACACTTAACATCAGTGAGGAGAATTTTCTTTCGGATATTCCTGAAGAGAAGGATGAGTGGGAGGCTTCAACGAACTCCTGTGACAGACTACTAGAGAACTCTCTCCGTAATCTTCAGTCGTCAACAAAGTACTATGCTCACCTTCAACTCCTTCAGACATTTAGCATGAAACGGTACTGGTGCTCCACCGAGGGTCTGGCCAGGGTTCTGTCTGACAGCGACCTTTCTTCATTGTCAAAGGTCAAGGACATCCACATATTGGACGACCTTATGGTTGAAAGCAAGGTGACAAAGCCACTCGAAAGGTCAGTGTCATTATCAGACATGAACATGAAAAGAACAGAAATAATCTCCAAGATGAAAGTTCTTCCCAAGTTGTGTAGGAAGTCATTGAAGAGTGAGGGACAGGAAAGAGATGTCACAAAAAGGCAGATTCTTCAACAGGTAATGTTTAACATGTTATTAATACACAACCTGTGATTGTGATAATACATTATATGGTATACAGTGTAAATCACCACCTAATATCAAATGGGAATTTACCACAAGTAGTTTAGTGTAAGAGACTAGCATACTCTACTGTCTTTTTCATTCTGCAGATAAGCAAACTGGAGTATTTGATTCATTTTCTTTTAAATTTTCTATTTCTTCTTTTAGTTTTTATCAATATTTCTGCATTATTATCTGGTTGCTTTTATAATGTAAGTTTTTCACATGTTTGACCATTTTTTCACAGCTGGCTCGTGAAGTAGAGAGTGAATCTGACGAGGACAACACTGTTAATGGATTTCACTCACTGCTCATACAGGACCACATGAGGGGCACACAACAGGTAGGAACTGGGGGGTAAACATTAAGGAGATATGCCATCTTAATATCAATTAAACCTCCTTTCCTAAAGAGTTGTGCTAAAAAACCTTCAAAATAAACAGTAAATTAATTTGTGATGGATTTTGAAGGTACACCCACAAAATACAGGTATTGACTCTGCTATGGTTATTCAAAGTATGAGATAATGCTTACAATTGAAGAAAGATAACTCTTGTATGTAAGTCACCAATACGATTAGGCAAACAGATAAAACGTCTTTGTTTGAAACAGATAAGCAATGACTCCCATTTGCACTATTTATTATTTATTTATTTTTGTAATCATGTAAATTAATCATTCTTTCTTAACATTTACATGTGAGAAAAGTACAATGTAAGTTTCGCACAAATTACATGGTAAAATGAATGCAAGACAAATTTGCCACTTGTATAAATTTAATGATCTCCTAAGATATATATCGCCCAATCAATCTCACTGAAATAATTAATAATTGCTTTATTGGTTTTCCAGGTGACTTGTAAGTCAGTGTCCTCTGCCGAACATTCCATCTCTACACATTTCTCAGATCCCCATGACAACGGTTCTCATCCGGACAATCTGTCTACCACACAGGAAGTGACAGACACATCAGGAGTTGTGTCCCTGGAAAAATTAGTGCTGCCGTCTGGTGAAGAAATGATTGGTGAACAAGGGAAACAATTCAGTAGCAAAGAGGCAAGCCCAGCCCCTGATATTGAACAACAGGGCAAGTTTCGAAGTGACTACTACAGCCTCTGTAACGTGGGATCAAATCGTAGTTTGTTATCAAGTGGAAATGAAGGTGACACAGATATACAGCCAAGCTGTGATCCTCTCCCTCACACCTGCCAAAATGGCGACAGTGCAAATTGTGAACAGTGTTGCATCCATGGTAACAATCAAGAATTTGACGAGATTTCGCGACAGTTAAAAAGTTTGTCAAAGACTGTCAACGCATTACATCAAAGTTTGACCAGTCTTAATAGTTGTGATACAGACAATGACTCGAACGAGGATCATTCTGAGCTGTTTACCACACCAGCTGAGAATTACAAGGACACTGAAGGTTACCAGTGGGTTGAGGACGAGTTCTACCTTACTCCCTGTGGGGGAGAACTAATCATGGGAAATTCTCCGTTCTCCGAGACAGGGGCGTGCTGTGATTGGGTAAACGAGTATGCAGATGACACCTCCTGTAACGATGAATTTGAGTTTTATGGGAATTTTTCGTCGGCTGATATTGGCGGTTTCAATGATGTCAAATCTCCATATCCCACAATCACAGAGGAAAAGGATGTAGATACGACAGCGCCATCTACTGGGGCCAGGGTAGACAACTCACCAAAGATCAAAAGGCAAACAAAGCCTTGTCGTCCTCAATTGGAGCGAACACACTCTGAAAACTATGGTGTGCTTGACCCACAGGTAATGATCATTAATTAGACTATACACTGTATCAGTAGATAGAACAATGCTTAGAGTATCAGTAGATAGAACAATACTTAGAGTATCAGTAGATAGAACAATACTTAGAGTATCAGTAGATAGAACAATACTTAGAGTATCAGTAGATAGAACAATACTTAGAGTATCAGTAGATAGAACAATACTTAGAGTATCAGTAGATAGAACAATACTTAGAGTATCAGTAGATAGAACAATACTTAGAGTATCAGTAGATAGAACAATACTTAGAGTATCAGTAGATAGAACAATACTTAGAGTATCAGTAGATAGAACAATACTTAGAGTATCAGTAGATAGAACAATACTTAGAGTATCAGTAGATAGAACAATACTTAGAGTATCAGTAGATAGAACAATACTTAGAGTATCAGTAGATAGAACAATACTTAGAGTATCAGTAGATAGAACAATACTTAGAGTATCAGTAGATAGAACAATACTTAGAGTATCAGTAGATAGAACAATACTTAGAGTATCAGTAGATAGAACAATACTTAGAGTATCAGTAGATAGAACAATACTTAGAGTATCAGTAGATAGAACAAAACTTATAGAGTATCAGTAGATAGAACAATACTTAGAAGAGTATCAGTAGATAGAACAATACTTAGAGTATCAGTAGATAGAACAATACTTAGAGTATCAGTAGATAGAACAATACTTAGAAGAGTATCAGTAGATAGAACAATACTTAGAGTATCAGTGATCTTGCTACTAGTATCTATTTATACTGTCAAAGTAAAAATAGTGTTTTTTTCTACTGTTTCTCGTTTCATCAGTGATGCTAGAATATTTGTCCAATGTGGTATTGTACGTATGTACCATGATGATCTATATGAAAGTCCATAGAAATAAGCATAATATTCTTAACTGAACTTTAAAAGTCCTGCCTCATTTTGTTTCTTTCGATCACCTTGTTGTTACAGATATTCTTTTACATTAATATTTACAAGCAAAATATGTATCTGATTAAAGATAACTTTTAAAAAGCCATGTGTGGAGTTTTTCTAAGGATGTGTTTTACTTTAGAAACGTAATGTATTATTGAACATGCAGAGACAGGTTGATTGAAGTATTAGCTACGGTCTGATAATCTTTAATCCTTTGTTATTGTGTAGACGCGGGCGGCCATGTTGGATTCCATGATTCAGCTGAGTGGCGGTAGTATGGATAGTTTGGATGACAACATTGGAGTTGACCATGTCATGTGCTCACGTCTCATCGGCAGGGGAGGTAATTCCATCATATTTTGTTGATATTTTTTTCTTCTGTATAATACAAGCCTTTACCTACTTATAATGTATTACTTGTCTGATATTACAACTTTTAGACTGAAATATTTGTATAATACCAACAATGACAGATATTTAGTATACTATCAGGAAATTCTAACTAAAAAAGGTGTAGGAAGTACTTTAATCTATAATCTGAAATGTTTGTTAAGCATAAGTATTTCAAATTGTTCTGTAAGTATATTTATGAAAAGGCTGTACCCAAAATTGTGTTAAAACTTTTCAATGCTGTATCTTTCATATCCTAAAGGTTTCACAAAGCATATACTTTCGTTTCAGACAAAATGGAAGCCTTGAGGTCTCCAACTAAGGTGAATCGCCCCGGCCTGGATCTGTCCAAGTTCTTCCTCAGGTTTGGTGACAAGGAGATGGAAGCTATGGCAGCTTTCGATTTTCTCAATGACATGACACCCTCTCCTAACCCACTCTGTCCTCCCCCGACAAACCAATCGGTGGCCAGTTCTCAGGAGAGACAGCCGATGACTGAGCCCACACAACATCCTGGAGAACCTCTGTCAGAGCCCGTGACAAAACCTCAGCCTGTAGCTTCTCAATCTAATGTAGAGCACAAAGTTACTACATCTTCTGTGAAATTAAAACCTCAGGTACCAGCGCCAGGTACACACAAACAAGCCCAGGGATCGGCTGGGAGGATAACTCCTGCTCTCAAACAAGCTCAGAGGTTCGCTGCTGGCTCACCAACAGCTATCGGCATGCACTCTCATAAAACTGATCCTAAAGTTGCTCACAAACAGGACCATGGACAGGCTGAAAAATGTGCCATAAAACAAGGACAGGGATTGGCTCCAGGGTCAGTTGGTGCTCACAAACATTCAATGGGATTGGTTGTTCACAAACCTGTGCCTTCATCCCAGCAGCATCATCAGGAATCTTCTACCAAAGTGCCTATTGCAGCAGAGACTAAGAACAGCCACCAAACGGAGGCTCCCAAGTCACATGGTTCTGCTTCAGACAAGAACCAAGCAGGGACCAATGGCAGTGTATCTTCTCCTAAGCCCTCCCGAATGGGTTTCTTTCGACGGAAAAGCTCTAGTTCAGAAAAAAAGACAAATGTTGAAGAAAAACCTTCCAAATTGCCAAAGAAATTTTCTCAGAACTCGAAAGAAAAGGAGAAGGAGAAGGAAAAGGACAAATCTAAAATTCCTAAAGCTGTAAAACAGGAACAAACATTAAGTAAACCTACCCGTAGATTCCTACGGTCTAGTGGGAAATCCTCATCTGTTACAAATGTATCTTCCTCCTCCAGCCACAAGTGAGAGGTCACTCAAAGGAGGCAACTCAAGGGTCCAAGGGAGATAACTATAGGGCAGGGATTGAAAAAAGAATCAGGAACATTTTCGTACAAGATATTTACGAATTAACTATTTCATTAAATTCATGTGGAATTTATAAATACTCATGTTACATGGAATGAAATTAGCTGGTTTTAGGGCTATTTTGTATGAAAAAAATCTTTTTGAAAAATGTACAACTTTGAAATGTTGTTACCTTGCTTCATCTTGGAAATTTTTCGAATTCTTCCATTTTGTTTTTGGTTTTGATACATATTTGTTTGACCTTGTAGCTTACTGCATGACAAATATTTTGCAAATCTTTTTTTTTATTTTGCTGATCATTTGTTCTTTTGTTAAAAGAAAGGAAGAATTATTCTGAGATGGAGCATCAGGTATCTTAACATCCTCTGGAGTACGTAAGATTAAGTACGTAATATTTTTTATTTTCGATAGGAGATCGGTGCCAAATGCGGTAATAGATGATGAGGTTACAAGTATAAGGTCAGCTTCGTTTGTAACTGGGTGTCATCTTCAGCATTGGTACTGAAGTCAGTGTTTATTCCAATAAATGCCCTCAGATTTTAAAATATACCTGGAAGAGTGCCGACAGATTTGTTGAAACTTACTCAGTACTGAGGGTGAAGGTGCCTCTGGAATACAAGGAGCCGTTAATGTTAAGCATAGTTATGTTAATGATATCATGAATGAAGAATTTATTATTCCCCTGGTGATCTCAAATTTCAATTGATATTCTGTAATTTATGAAAAATGGCATTTAAACGAAGAAGAAGGAAAAAAAATTGAAATAATACAGAATAAGTTAAATAGCTTAACAAACCTGGTTCCTGAACTTATATATTTGTGACACCTTTAACCTTTTCACCACTGTAGACCATAATAGACTCATCCATATCAACGCATGGTAGAGCCTACTAAAGTTACATAGGGGTGAAAAGGTTAAGAGAAAATAATTATCACGGAGAAAAGGTACTAGAAGTGAGGGTTTATTGGAATATATACGGTGCTTCTGATATAGATTGATTAAGATATTTTAGGTGTAAACAATTACTAGCAAGGTTCTAGTAGAATTCATAGGTCATTGTGGCTCTGTTGAACGTTTTAAGAAATAACGTGTTTGTGAAGTAACGTGTATTAGCTGGGTAATTGACATGATATATAGATTGCATCATGGTTTATTTCATTAGACATTATTTACTTTAGATCCAACTCAAATCATTCAAGCTACCACATTCAAGTCAAAATTAGTATTTGTTTTATGTTTATTTTGTGACAAAAATACATTATGTCATTTAGAAAAAAAAAGTGCAGTTTTAGAAAAAGTATTTCTGTGTATGACAGAGAACGGTATAACATGTTTTTGAATATGAAAACACTTCCATTCATTATGTGGGACCGCTAATATTTTATAAAAAAAACATTGTTCATCATGTGCCATAATAAGGACTATTGCGTATAAATTTTGTACAACATCATTTTGGAGAATCATTTTTTATACCTTACATATACACAATGCTTACTGATTTTTAACATTTTTGAAGCATTTTATTGCAATCTATGCAAAAGATCATTTTTTCAGAAATCATTTTTTTTTTTACAATTTGTCCATAATTCCACCATTCCTTTGCCAAGCAATATCAGATGGATCTTTCTAAGAGGAATGCAACAGTTGAGTTCTGCAAGGAAAAAAGGGAGGTAAATGCTGCAATCAATTTTCGCCCAGACCGCAAGGGATGGTAATTATGCAATATCCATTTAAGAGATGGGTTTGTTTGTAAATGAGGATTTGTAAAAAAATACCTAAAAAAATAAGGATGGTAACGAAAATTGAGGTTATTGATTGCAGTATTTTAACCCTTTCACCCCTATGTAACTTTAGTAGACTCTACCATGCATTGATCTAGATGAATCCATTATGGTCTACAGTGGTGAAAGGGTTAAAGTGATACTTGTGTTTTATTGTACGTACTGACAGGAGATTTGGGGCTAGGATACATGTGTTTATATATATATATATATTTATATCTCGGTGTTGTGGTGATCACTGTTTGGATAGCGGGTACATTTTGTGAGTGCATGAGTAATTTATCACAACTTATTGTATGTTATCCGTAACTTAGCAACCCCAGACAACATTACCTCTCATTCCCTACCATGTTGACCTACCTTTATAGACATCGACAGTAAACACACACTAAAGACATGCAGCTGTATAAATTTATATTAAAACCTGAAATAAATTTTATGTTCAAAACACATGGCAGACACTTATGCAATTTATCAATATATACAATGAAACTTTATTAATTCTCTGGGGGCTTTTTATGAAATAACATCACCTTGGAGTTGGCATGAATTGTTTCTAGGTTCCTAGAATATCAACTTAGTGAGTTCACAACAATGGTGGTATTCAACATAGTGAGTTCACAACAATGGTGGTATATTCAACATAGTGAGTTCACAGCAATGGTGGTATTCAACATGATTGAATATCAATTTAGTGAGTTCACAACAATGGTGGTATTCAACATGATTGAATATCAACTTAGTGAGTTCACAACAATGGTGGTATTCAACATGATTGAATATCAACTTTAAATTAAGTGAGTTCACAACAATGGTGGTATTCAACATGATGTATAGGTACATTTTGGTATCATAAAAGTCTTTAAAAGGAATTTAGAAAACTATATTTGTTTCATTTTAAATCACAAATTTCATGTTTTAATGTTTTTATAAATTGTTGAGGGCAATGTTTAAGAATTTGCATTTTAAAATTTGTTATAATGATAATGCCGCACTTAACTTAAGATTGAACTTCATGAAATATCTCAAAATTATTAGATAGTGTGATTTGACTGTACACTATTGTTGAATTATATAAAGCTTCAACCGATTGTTAATACAATAACTACGGTATTTATAGATAAATATTGACTTTTCATTGATGTCTATCTATGTAATCAGGGGTGATAGCTGAATTTGACTCTCTCTTGGGGTTAATGCTGTGGAAAGCAATTTAATTGCATGACAACCTGTCTTTAAAGGAAAACCATAATCTTTTTAATTGTTTGGATATCGAAATGATTGGATTTAAATATTTTCTTTAAAGGGAGATAACTGTAGTTTTACCTACTTTAGAAAAATAAAAACTAGAGTTTTACCTATCTTAGATGGAGATATAAGATGACCTCAATTTGCCTATTAACTAGATTTTAATTGTTTTTGAGCAGGAGATTAAAACAGATTTTATAAACCTCTCAATTTTAAACCTCTCCTAGGAATATGTTGGATTTTAATATAGAATTTATATAATGGTAAGTTATATGTAATATTTGACCTATATGGAGAATTACGATGAATGGCTGTGATGATTTTGTATGGTCTGTCTCTTTTAAATCATTGTGTACATGTATATGAGGCGTATGGTACTGACGATGAACAGTAGATGGATCAGTACAGATTATCTTTTACTCACCCAGGGTCTTATGTACAAGAATATTGATTGTATCTTGTTTTGAGTGTAAGCAGTGTACACTATTGTACTAGTTTCCATAAGAAAGTAAATAAAGAGATTTCATTAAAATATAAGTTGTTTAAAAAGAAAACAACTATTCAAAACTTTATTAAATGCAAATCTATTTGCGTACTGTTAAAGTAAATAAGATGTAAGTTAACGATGCCAATATAATCCAATATTGCCGGTATGTCATCGAGGAATTACCTAAGTGATATATTATTTCTTCAGTTAAGTAATACCTTTCAATTAACTGACATTTTATTATTAATTAATATAAAAAATATCTTTACCTGTAACACAGACAAGTTAATATGAATAATATAAATATGTTTAGATATGGAATCAACATGGCATTGCTTAAGTTCTTTGTCAAACAAAAAAGAAGATATGAGATACGAAATTAGAAAGCACATACTATCACCCGGATCAGCATTGGCAATATACATTTTCTCAAATGTAAAATATTTATATACTTATAAACATATATTTATGTTGATGTGTATAGAAAAATGGGTTTTTACATATCAAAATGTAGGAAATTGTATTTAGCACAGGGACTGGATATATGTGCTCATTTACAAAAGTTAATAGTGGTCTGTTTTTTGAGTGGTAATTATGGAAAAGGTTGGCCTGTATTTTGTGCACATGGTAGTTAATCATCAATTTAGCTATAATGCTGAATCCTCTTCAGTGTTAAAGACAAAGGAGGTACCATTATTGTTTTAATTTGAAATTATCTCAATTTCAGCTAAATAACTGTGCTCCTTGTAACTTGTAAAATCATTATGGCAACATTTCTGGCCCCTGTGCTGTTCTAAGATTTGGAATAAAGGTCAGTTATAATTACCAAGTAGAATTATTATCTATATATGTATTTAGGCTGTTGTTAAATATTTTAATTTGTGTGATACTTGTTTGTTCACCATGTCATGATGGATATATGTGTGTGCATGTATATGTAGCTATATTTATAATGTTGCTATGACAACCTTTTGTAAGCTCCCGAAATGGATACCCGACTATTATAAAATGGAATAAAACAACCCAATATGTATTTTATGAATTTGTTGTTTATTATGAGATAAATAACGGAATGTTTGTCCAATACAATAATTTAAAACAAACTTACACGTAAAACTCCACCCTGAAGACTCCCTGATATTAGAACATATATATCCTACCACGTATTAGACATGACAAAATCACCTTCCTGCATGACAAAATCGGCTGAATGTTGCAAGAATCTGCAAAAGATTTCTCGGAGCAAACCCTGTCAGGCCTCTAGATTGAATTGGCTGCCATATATTTCAGACATGTCTGATATTTGGGGGCTAGGGGCCAGTCAGTAGACAGGTTCTACAGTCAATTTCTCTGCATGAATCATCAGGGGCTTTAAATAAATTGTAAAATTCCATCCATTCCTCATTCGGGAGGGGGTAAAGTTTACTATAGTTTATATGGGGAAATAACGCTTGGATATATTCAGCAGGAAATTATTCAAACTTGGTCAGAACCATCTTTGGCGGATGAGGGTATTACACTGTAAAATTGGGATTCCTGCCCAAACCCCCTTGACCAGGGCGCAGCCCAAAGGGGAAAATTAACCAATATTTCAAAACGCTATTAACGCTAATAAAACAATACCTCTAGATTAAAATGGAGATGAGTTATTTTGTTACTATATCCTATATTATCAATTGTTAATATAAAGATACTAATCTATTCGAGGCATTTTGTTGCAAGTAAATATTTGAAGTATTCATTTAATGTTGTATCAAAAGTATAACAGTAATATACGTCTTGACCGGACGCACAGTGGATATCATTTTCTTTCTTAGAGATTATTACTCAACTGCTATTTCTATTCTATCACACTTAACCCAGAAAACGATATTAAGCGAGAGAGGCCAGAGAATTAAACAATATAGAGGGTGAGAGGCCAGAGAATTAGACAATATAAAGGGTGATAGGCCAGAGAATTAGACAATATAAAGGGTGAGAGGCCAGAGAATTAGACAATATAAAGGGTGAGAGGCCAGAGAGTTATATACTGGGAATTTTGTTCAAATGATCAATCGGGCATGCCAGGTTTATCACAATTTGCTTCGTTTTGAAAACATCTTTAACCCCTTCTAGCAGTCAATATAAAGGTCAGGAAAATCTCCTTGACACGGTGTTTTAGAAATCCATTTTATTTAAAATACACGTAGTTGAAAAACAAAAAATCCCATCCAAAGCCTGACTGTGCGCTATAGTCAAGATACGTAGATTTTAAAACATGAAAATACTGAAATATGTATGTGTATCTGTTCGTTTAGATAATTGTCCTTGATTTAATGAATACCATTGGGTAGGGGAGATAACAGTAACGTACAGGGGAGACAACAGTAACGTACACCTAACGTTCGCAGGTGCGAAAAGTTCCATCAAAACTTTATTAATTTGGAACTCTAACGACATTTTAGGTTAAGCACTAAAACAGAGCAGTGAAGTTTGTGATTTATTAAACTAAATATGTGTGCATCCTTTTTATTTGTTAATTATATAGAATTTTATTTGACGCAAAGCAGGAAATATGCAAATGAGTTTACACCAAGGTTTTCGATTTCCACAATTTCTTAATAAGAGGGTGTCTCATAGGCTGGAAGGTGGGCTAGAAAAAGACACAACACATTTTAAAACCCCACTATGTCCAATATTTACCCCATATTTAAATGAGTATTGTGAACATTTTAATTAGCTTTTTTACACAGCGTCAGAAGTGGGTATCACGTGTATAATTAGCGTCATTGATTGCAAGTAAATTATTAATAAATTAAGGGTTTTTTGTACCTTCCCTTGTGATTCAACAATAGTTGAGATTAAGTTAGATTCCGACGTTTTGGTCCATAGAGTCACCCAGTTTACCTGATAAGTGTAGTATCAATAATATCACAGTAGACTTTGCACGGCACTGCTAATAACGCCGCGATACCTCTATCGATTAAGAGTGGGAAAGGGGTATGAGCCCCATAGCAGCCTTAATTTCAATATAAAGATACTGTTCTTTCCGAGGCATTTTGTTGCAAGTATAATGTTTAAGTATTCATTTAATGTTGTAGTAAACGTAAAACAGTAATATACATTGGATAAGCTCCTTACTCTATAATCAAAAAGTGCGGGTATAGAATCCCCGTCACAGAGATGCTCGTTTCTGCGCAAAAGTATGAATTTGCAGTGGATCATTTCACATCACCTGGCCCAAAGTTGTATTGTGTGTAATTAATTGCTATATTACTTGTGTATGGAAAATGATGCAAGCAAACATATTCAAAAACTGATTCTCATTCCTGTCGAAGATATAACACGTTACGCTGGTACTTTGTAACTTTAATAATCGTTTACATATCACGTTCTTTCTTATAAGGTCTGCTTAAGTGATTATTACTTAATGGCTATTTCTATTCTATTACACGTAACACTAAAGACAATATAGAAGGTCGGAGGCCAACGCATTATTCAATGTGAACTTTGTTCACCTGACAACTCGGGCAGGCCATGATTATCACAAGTGGTTTCGTTTTGAAGACATATATTTATCCCCGTCTACCAATCAGTTTTTCCGTTTTTGAACGCCATAACTCGGAAACCGTTCGTCGCCTTGAATGCATGCTTCATACTTCTTTGAGATCTTGGTCGGGGCTAACGTTTTCCCATGACATGTTATCAGAGAATATGTCAGGCCTCGCTTTCGGGTCAAATATAGGTCAAATATTAAAATAAAAAAAAAGTTTATTTTACACCATATATTAAAGGGTATGTTGTAATTAAGATATTCGCATAGTTTTAAGGTCATCAAAAATGACGAAGATATGCCACTTTGAAAAATGTTCATTTTCCCGCCAAAATTCAAAATATTCCTGAAATTGCACTTTACACGTTTCTCCTCCGTAGCCGAGTAACATACAGATTTGACATTTGCTACAAAATATATTGATAGAATGGTAAATACACATTCTACAAACTGTACAAAGGGGAATAACTCAAATAGAACCTCTGTGACCAATTTGTCCTCAATACACCGAGTCACTGTCCGTTCAGGCCTTTGGTGTTGCTGAGTTCAAATAACAGAGATGTAGAGCATCATTGCGAGTGGAACCATCGACATGGGTACTGGGGTTTGGTTTGCTTTGTCCAAATAACATGGCTGTCAATCACCATTTCCCCAGGACCCACACTGAGCACATAATAACAGAGCTGTCATTCACCACTACCTCACGTACAAAGAGACGGGAGGGGGTAGAAATGCTGAACAGCTCTTATCAATGCTAACATATCGGAAATAACTTGACCCTGTGGTATGAATCAGGTACAAGGATGGTCAAAGAATGGAAGCTATGGGAAACTTTTAAAGGCGACCGTCATTTCGAGAACATTTCTAAGATCATTTTCTACATGGAAATCCGTGTTTTGATCTTGATCAATTCTATTTTATATAAATGAACCACTCGTCTACTTCTTTGTTAAAATCATCCTCGCCATGTCTAGAAATCAAACGGTTATGAATAGAGATCTCGAGATTCTTAACGCATGGTCCCAAACTTGGTTAGAAACATCCAATCCAGCTAGTCGTATTATAACCGGACTTCCTTCATATGCCCGAATTGAAGATTTACTTTTTAAAACTTGTCTAGAGTTCCTTTCTAATTGAAGGAACAAATGCACAACAAATTAACTCCGGACTATTTAAATGATGTATTACCGTCTACCGTTATAGTAAATAGCCGTTACACCATTAGAAACAATAACGATTATAGAATTCTTCCTTTCAGGCTTTCTCTTACGCATCCTGCTCCAAAGGTTGAATGCCTTGCATGTTGATTTCAATTTAGAACTTCTCTTGTTTGGTGATAGTCAACTTTCGGTAGAAATCAATACAATCGCAATAGGTTTTGATAACTAAAAATATTTTTATCTATGTGAATACGTTGTTATACGTGTTTATGAAATTGCATTTCATTATTTTGCATTGATTCTGTTCATTTTGAAATTACTCTACCAGACTGCTTGTCATGCAATTTGTATGTTTTTTTATTTATTCAAATGCAGACCCATCTGACCTATCTCAGGGGTTGGCCAAAGCAGAAAATAGGCTAAATAACAATATATATTATATTTCTCAATAGAAAAATAATTTATTTGAATAGTTTTCAAAGTTCTCATCATTGGTGACAAGTATAATAGTTCACTTTGTTTACATGTGGATTTACACATCACACACAACAATGAAATTGAGATTCTAGTACCTACATATTGTATAATATATTGTAACCCAGGTGACCGCTAAGGCCCTTTGGCCTCTTTGTTATTTGTAGATGCACTTAACATTTTTTGTCTAAAAAACGAACTCGTATTTATTAAAAGTTAATATACTTTGGAAAGTATTGCACATTTAAAATGTATCATTAACTTACACTAACGTCATATGCAAAAAAAATAGAATGATTTTATAACAGAACGTTTAACAATGACATCGGTATAATCAAGGAGGTTCTATTTGTCATTAAATGAGTTATGAAAACTAACAAAAGCCTTATTGAACATACACAAGAGAATCTATTGGGCCGAGACTTATGCCTATTTCTAACGACACCGTCAATACAAATACTACAAGCCATTTAAACGCACTCAGTGAAACGTTTCCCTATCTCTGAGTAAATTTAACTTATCAATGAACTCAAATCATTGCATCCTCACAAAGGACACTGTTATATATGTTTAAATGTTACACAGATTCTGTTGAAATAGACAGGTAAAGGACGGACACCAAGGCCAATACATCAACATACCCTGTCTCCAGCACACATACCCTGTCTCCAGCACACATACCCTGTCTCCAGCACACATACCCTGTCCCCAGCACACATAACCTGTCTCCAGCACACATACCCTGTCTCCAGCACACATACACACAAGCACACATACACACAAGCAGAAATGCAATACACACATGAAGGCACGTCCTGAAATGACCTTAGCAGTTCATAGGACGTAAAACAAAATAAAACCAAACAAAACAAAACTTATCTAAACGCAATATGCACTGCTTGTATATAGAGAATAATACATGCTTTTTTCCATATCACACCCAGTATCAACCCGAGACTGCAATATCAGCCCAAGGGCCGAATGCCCGAGGGCTGATATTGGTCGAGGGTTGATACTGGGTATGATATGGAAAAAGGCGTGTTTTATTCTGTTTATTACATACTTACTAATAAAAACTACTATCTTATGATTTATTTTTATTTTTGAAATATTGAAAAACGAATTTTTTTCCAAAAAGGGTTTGATATGGGTTTTGCGGGCTGTTACGGGTTTTGGGGTGTGTTACGGCGGGGGCTGATATGGGTTTTGGGGTGTGATACGGCGAGGGCTGATATGGGTTAGAGCAATTGTGTCGTATCGCATATACAAAAAACCCGTATTTATTAGTAAGTATGTAATAAATAATAACACTTTAGCTTACAAATTGTTAACGATTTCAATGAGGTCGCACTTTAAAGTTGGCATCCTATTCTCGTTATCGAAAGGAGGCAAATAATCAGCATACCCTGTCTCCAGCACACATACACACATTCACGCACGCATTATATGTATGAAGACATGTCCTGAAAAGACCTTAGCTGTTAATAAGAAACAAAGTAAAACTAAACCATAATAATGATATGGTATTCAACATTTATATATAGCGCCCAATGAAGTTTGTACTCTAAGGCGCTTTAAAACACATGAATAACAGTATTCATACAGTGACACGTATAGACATAGTAGATAAAAAGCAAACAAATCCGCATTATACATTGGGTAACAATACGCTGATCTCAGTAGGCGCATACATGTATATAGGGGTGGGGGGTGTAAATGATGTCAAAGCAAACCCCTAGAACGCAGGAGTAAAGATAGGTATTTATCCTGCCATACCAATTATGAGAAGTTCTTTTTGCACAACCAATAAAAAATTCTATATGACGTTTCGATGACTAGCACGATATGTACACTGTCACCTTCATCAGACAAATGACCAATGAAGCGTATGCACACAAAGGTGTAAAATGTGTAGGAGTTGTGCATAAAATCGATGTCGATTTCGGCTACGCTGGAAACGTATGTACAATAGCTGTTATATATGTACCGAAATGACTAAATTCAGCTACGCTTTGTTAACACTTGGTCATAGATGTGCGAGTCTTTGAGCCCCCTCGTCTCGATTTAGAACTGGCCCACTGCGGCGTATCCAGATGGCTTCCTTTATCTGCCTCTTGAACAGATTGCTCTCTCTGTCCAAAACTTTGGAGTTATCCCAGTCAATCACATGGTTTCTGTGTGGCATGGTCTGTGATTGCCGATTTATTTATCTGGGACTCCGACTGTTTTCTTTCAGATCTGGTGAATTTTCTACCTTCTAGGGTTTCTGTATCTTTCCGTTGTTCACCAAGGCGGACCCCAAATCGCCTTCCAGTCTCCATTATACGACGCGTCGCAGTTTTTGCATCCGATTTTGTATACGCATTCTGCGACGTTTTCTTTAGGTGTTTTATCCTTAGGGTGTGCTAGGATACTGCGAAGCGTCTTGTGGGGCTTCATGGCTGTTGCTATGCCATGACCGCGATATATCCTCTGGATGGCTTCGGATATATCCTTTATATACGGGATGACCACTTGACCTTTGGTTTTGTTCCTATCCTTGATTGGCATTTTCTTGTTGTTCTCCTTACTTTGACACTGTTTTTTACCCGTTTTAGGGCCCATTCCGGATATGCACATGTTCTCATTGCCCTAGCGGTGTGATTCTGTTCTTGTGTTTTGCCCTGTTGTTCTGTGACTATTGTATCACATCTGTTGAGCAATGTGCGTATGACGCCCAACTTTTGGTGTAAAGGATGGGGAGATTTAAGTTCAAGTATTGGTCCGTATGAGTCTATTTTCTATAGACCAATACCTTCGCGGTTCCGTCTTCTTTCTTTACCAGTGGTGTCTAGGAAGGTCATTGTGCCATTGATTTCTTCCTCACATGTAAATTTGATGTTGTTAGTGGCATCTATAGTGTTGATATGTGTGGTGAAATCTTTCTGTGACCCCTTCCTGATTATCTCAAGTATGTCGTCAACATAACGTTTCCATAAGCTAGGCTTGCATTCTATGGGGGCAGTGGCTATTGCTTCTTGCTCCAGATGTTCAATGAACAAATTGGCAACGATGGGAGACACTGGACTACCCATGGCAGTGCCGAAGCGTTGTTGGTAGATGCTGTTCCGGAAACTAAAATATGTTGTTGTGAGCACAAACTCCAGCAAATCCATGATATCCTGAATCTGAAGGTTTGTGTTTTTGCGCCAGGATCTGTCTAATTCTAAGCGTTTCCGAATGATTTTAAGTGCGTCGTCAATGGGTGTGTTAGTAAAGAGAGAGACAGCATCATGTGGAATGAATTCTTCGTCTTCCTGAATCATGATGGTAGACATAGCTTCCGCTAGATGTTTTGAATTCTTTACATGGTGTTCCGATTTACCCACTAGCGGTCAAAACCCCCGTTACTTGGGATCTCAGTTGATCAGCCTCAGCTTAGCTAAGTTTCTTACATGCCTGTTCTGTGGCTATAACAAAATCATCAACAAGTATTTTATCTGGAACGATGGCATAGTTCATACCCTTAGCGAGTAACGTTTTCTCGCTACTGGTGAGCTCCTTATTAGAAATCTTGACTACCCATTTTTTTTAGCATAGAATCATTCAGAGCTGCATCTGTGTTGGTGTTGTGTGGTGTTGATTTTTCTACAAGACGGCTTAATTTAGTCAAGTGGCGTTGTTTAGTTGTGTCGAATGCTCGTTCACCTATCCGCTTCATGTGTTGGTTCATATCCCCTACAGTGTCACTTGATAAGCGTTCGGTCAGTTTATCGGCGAGTACTGTTATGTCATGCATGTACGAGTCTATTTTGTTGTTAACAACCCGTATTCTCTCTTTCAATAGATCTTTCTGTGCTTTCTTGACTATATTTCTAGGATTTGTAGTGTCGACTGGGCACCTAATATTCCGACTTGAAGGTGTGATATGCAAGTCTCTACATCTCAGCGTAAACACCAGGTGATTTCTGTGTCTCGCTAATTTCTTCTCTGGGCTCTCTAATTTCCGCACATCTCTGACAATATCTTGTCCGTACTTTGTTCGAATATTTCTAAACATTTTCTTCAGGTTGGTAAGTATGGATTATGAGAAGTTCTTTTTACACAACCAATACACAATTCTATAGTGACGTTTCGATGACTAGTACGATATGTACACTGTCACCTTCATCAGACAAATGACCAATAAAGCGTATGCACACAAAGGTGTAAAATGTGTACGAGTTGTCCATAAAATCGATGTCGATTTCGGCTACGCTGGAAATATATGTACAATAGTTGTTATATATGTACCGAAATGACTCAATTCAGCTACGCTTTGTTAACACTTGGTCATAGTTTCGCTCAGTTTCGCTCAGTTGACATCAATGGTAAGCCGGGGCTTGTATAGATGTATCTTCTTCTCTACTTAATAGTATAACGTACTTTCGCGTACTATTGACTTCTGGTTGCTATTTACAAATGTTATTTCATTAACGCGTAGTAAGTTTGATATGGAGTTACGTAACTCCCAGTAAAGTTCCTCTCCTATATAGTTAAAAGTATGGTTAAAATACACTGTTCACACTACTATCAGTATCACTGTTCATATCAGAATGTCACACAGTGTCTAATAAAAAGATGGTTTGAACTTGGCTGGGTGTTGCTTCCAGTGGTTGTTAAGACGAGTCTTAAAGGTGTTTAGAGTTGGGGAATTTACTACCTCGTCTGTTAAAGAGTTCCACAGATTCACCACTCTATTGCTGAAGAATTGACCATATTTGTACAGTCTAAATGGTCTTTTGTAGAGTTTCCTGGAGTGCCCCCTGGTTAAAGTTCTCCCTGTTTCCGTGAATAGTTTTTCTTTGTCTAGGACATCGATGTTATTTAGAATTTTGTATGTTTGAATTAGGTCGGCACGTTCCCTTCTATATTCCAAGGTCGGTAATCCAAGTAGCCTAAGTCGCTCCTCATAGGGTAGATTTTTAAAAGTTGGTACCCTTTTGGTTGCACGTCTTTGGACATTTTCAATGATGGTTTTGTCACGAATAAGTATTGGTGACGAGACTGGCGTTGCATATTCCAGATGAGGCCGAATAATGGTCTTGTATAAGGTTAGGAACATTTCCGGGCTCATATACGTAAAGGTCCTAAAAACTATGCCAAGCATCCTGTTTGATTTTGCTGCTGCTGAGTTTGCATTGGTACTGAATTTTAGTTGGTTGTCTATGTGAACACCTAGGTCCTTCTCGGATTCCACTCTTGTTATCGTTGTCTCGGTTCCATCTTTGGTTAGTCTGTATTCGTGGTCTCCTTGACTTCGTCCTATTTCCAGGTGCTTACATTTTGTTGTGTTCAGTTGCATTAGCCAAGTTTGGGTCCACTCACACATGCTGGTAATGTTGTCTTGTAGATTATGCCGGTCCTCTAGTGATGATATTTTCGCTGAAAGTTTAGTGTCGTCTGCGAATAGTTTTATTGTGCAGTTTAACATATCAGGCATGTCGTTGACGTAGATTAGAAACAGTATCGGTCCAAGAACACTTCCTTGTGGTACCCCACTTGTGACAGACTTTATGTTAGAAGNTGTTGATGCGGCGTGAATAGATTATTTGTATTCATGTGGGTGAGGATTTCGTCCCTTATGAGCCGTTGCATAATTTTTGATGGTACAGACGTTAAGCTGATAGGTCTGTAATTGCCGGGGTCCTTTTTCGATCCCTTCTTAAAAATTGGTGTAACTGTTGCCTCTTTCCATGATGTTGGTAGTTGGGAGTTTTCCAGGGATTTCTTGAAAACAATTTGTAGTGGTTTCTTTAAGGCCTCAGCTGTTTCGGAGATAAGTTTTGAATGGAGATTGTCCGGCCCTGGTGATTTAGTTGGGTTAATCCGTTTGATCGCCTTTATTACAGAATCCTCTGTAATGTCAATATCTACCAAGGGTTCGTGAAAGTTTCTCCTAGGAAGGGGTGGTAGTGGTGTATCCTGGTCCTTAACAAAAACACTTGCAAAGAAGTTGTTTAGGGTGTCGGCTGTGTCTTTATTGTCATAGATGTGCGAGAGTTTTTGATGTCCCAAAGACTCTCGCACATCTATGACCAAGGGTCATAGACTAAGTATTACTGGCGGAAAGAAAAAGTTTCCTTAACTTTGAATTTTTTCTTTGTTTCTATTGATTGTTCCTGTGAAAACAGTTTCAGTTAATAAACGTTCATAAAACTGGGACTTGCATTGTCGACTTGTTCACTGTATTTGATCCATGGGCAGCAAAGATTGGTACCGTGACGCTCCGCTATGAAGACTAACAGCGGATTATCGACAACGACAAGGCAACTGGACCAACCTGTATTGCTTGTACGGCAAATAGAAGATAAACCCTGGCTCCACTAGACAACGAAACGCTATGTGAGCATGAAAGCTTACAATTGTTGTTTCATCATTGGTTGGTATGCGGGAAAGCACCCTTTTATGAGCACTGTCAAAATGTTTATTTTGATATCCCTGCTTTAGAGGAAGGTCACCAAAAACATACTTTTGTAAGGAATGCCAAGTCACGAGTTAAATATTTCTGCACGAGTCTTTAACGTTTGGTACTTCAGTTTTGGGAAACAAATTAATCCAGCAACGGTTATTGAAACTCCAGCGAAAAAGAACGCTACGTCATAGTCAGCTCTGACGTCAGAGAGGATTCCTGGGAATGACAAATGCGATATTAACACGTGTGCATGGTTCAATCCTACTAAATTTTATATACATATCGATACTACTTTTGACGTTATAAATGTCTATATACCAGCACCAACATCAAAAAAAACTTCCCCTTCAGGAGAAAACCCTCCAAAGGTTGGCCCATCTAAGGCACAGATGAGGTCGCAGCGATCTCGCTCATTTACATCTGTTCCTCTATCCCAACTGAGATCAGAGGCAACATCACCAACCAACAGATCTAAGAAAAAAATAAGAATAGCGAGGGGCAAATCTGATGGACCCGAACTGAATGTCACCTTTGGCAAAGGATCAGAGGACCCGACAAACTGGTTCAATGTCCTACTAGATTTCGATGATGAGATGGAGACGAATACCTCAGTGCTTCGTGCTCCGACTCCATCGAAATCCAGCCAAAATAGCAACAAATAAATAATACAATTATCTAATGGAACATTCGTGGATGAAAGGCAAATATAGAAGAATTTCAGAATCTATCAAAATAATTTAGACCCGCCATTTTTTGTCTACAAGAAATCATGCTCAAAAACCCAATCACACTTAGAAATTTTCTCACTCTGCACTAACATTCCAACTGTAGTAAGCAGAGCAGCAGGTGGCGCAGCGGTAGCTGTCCATAAAATATTCCTCACAGAATGATCAAGTTTAACACAAATTAACAGGCTGTTGCTGTCTGTGCAACATAAAACAGACAAATAACCGTCTGTTCAATTTATCTCCCTCCGAGTATTGTTTTCACTTGTGAGCAACTCAATAACATCGTCCCCCAGCTCCCAACACCATTCATAATCCTTGGTGATTTTCATGATCATAATAGCCTGTGGGGCTCTCCCAACACAGACGAGAGAGGAAGACGTATTGAGGAATTTATAGATAAAAGCAACTTGTGCCTTTTTAACAACAGTACCCCTACCTATTTACACCCTGCAACCGGCTCTCGTACCCACATTGATCTATCATTAAGCCATCCATCCATTCTACTTGATTATAACTGGAGGGCAAATGATGATCTTTGTTGAAGTGACCACTTCCCAATTTTTCTTAAGAATATTGGGACTCCTCTTGATGATCCTCTACCTCGATGGAATATGCACAAAGCAGGTTGGGTCCAATTCCAACACACGTGCATTGAAAAACTAACCATAGACAATTTTACTAACCTCGACGACCCTATCAAAACTTTTACTGAAACACTCACTTCTATTGCCCAAAAAAGACAATTCCAAAATCCGCTCCAAAACCTACGAAGTTCCTTTTATCTGAAGAATCTTTTAGAACACGCAGTAATCGGGCAGCTGCTCTAAGACGCTACTTAAATTGCCCAACTGCTTCAAACTACAGTGAATTTAAAATTTGTCGGGCAAAGGCTCGGCGATCAATTAAAATTGACAAAAGAAACAGCTGGAGAGAATACGTATCCAAGATATCATCAAACACGTCCTCAAAACAAGTATGGGATATGATTCGGAAAATAAGTGGGAAAAAGAAAAAGGCAACATCCTCCCACCTCATTAATAAAAACTAATTTTTTTCGTCTGTGTCTGAAATTGCTGATGCATTTGCAAAAAACTTAGCTAAAAACTCATCCCCTTTAAACCACTCCCAAAAAGTCCAGTCTTTAAAGAAAAAAAGA